TAGTTTATTAAACAACTCACTTCAGAAGTTAAATTACTAAATTGTATCTCCATGGGTTTTAAGAAGTACTGTCTGATCACAATAATGGGTTGCCTACAAACTTTTATCTTAGCCATCGCCTCCAGAGTTGCTGTATTTAATTATTTAAACATTGTATTAATGAAACATGTTATACTGGTAAGAAAACTACTTTTATCACAGCACATGAAAGAAAAAAATTATGTGGTTTACACTGCACAACTGCATTTGCACCCTCATTGCAAACAGCAAAAAACATCCTCTCCCTGATCCTCTGTTTCCAGCTGCTACGCAGAACTAATTTAATGGCTGCCATTGCTCTTGATTCTGACCTGATTAAAAAAAAAAAAAACCAACAAAAAATCCCAAACCATTTGAAACATTTTGATGCACCTGTTGTATTGCATTGTGACCCACTGTGATTTCAATTTATGTCACATGAGAACATGCTACTAAAGCACCAGATTGCACCATGTGCAAAAAACCTAGCAGTGCTGGAAATTGATGTCACAGCACATTTTAAAATGCATATCTGTCCACATGATGCATTGAACACATAAATTAAGATTAAAAAGAAAAGGAAAAAGAAATTAGTCATGGCATGAATGAGGTTAGACAGAACCATTCTAATTTGTACATACGTCCTTTTGAAGCTGGAAACCTCTGCTGTAGAATGAAGACCTGTTTCATTTGAGCTGTTGAAAACCTAATTGCAATAGCAGATTACCAACCTTTTTTGGTGGATCAGCCACGAGAGGGAAGTAAGACAGAAGTGGGTTTCAGGTGTTTGCTGACATTAGAGTGATACTGTAAACTAAGAAAAATGTGGGAAAAAAAACATCTTCTGCATCTCGCAGGACCTAAAGACGGATGATTCTGTTTATCTCTGCTCGGTGTTCAAGCCTCTCCCTCAGGTTCTTTTCTGGTCCTATCTTCTCCAGCTGTCATTCTGTCTTTCTCCTTGACCAACGGTCCCAAGAGGGATAAAATAATTTGGCAAAGTGCTCTGGAGCACGTGAAAGACCAAAACTTAGGTACTTAAATTGAAAATGCAGAAATGAACAAAATATTAATCATTTGAGCTTATAGTTAAGCACCTTTGAGAGCACTTAAGAAGAGAGACTTGGTTTGGAAATCTGCACTATGAAAACACTCATTGAATAATCATATTTTGTGGATGAAGAATTCAAATGCACTGCAGAATCCTATGCAGAAGAATCCAGCAATGCTTTTTCTTCTCAAAAGACACAAGAAAAAAAGATATATATTATATATATATATATTTGTAAGCACATTTTAAAGATCTGCAACCTCTTTGTTGGAAAAAATGGCAACAATAATATTTCTCTTCCTTACAGTTGTATTGCAAATGTTAATAATTATAAAATCCTGCAAGAACTGCTTGAAGAGCATTTAAAATGTTAAAAATGTTAAAAAGCCATTCCTTAACTGTCCAAAGAGTGGCTTAAAAATCCAACTGCTGTTAGGTAGCAACCCTCCACAGCCAGAAGAGCAGATGAACTGTGGATTAAACCAAATAAAAGACTTTTTTCTCAAGGAAGAAAGAACATAACCACAATCTGAGCTCTGCTTGTAACCAGTGACATTTCCAGTGATGTACTGTCTACTTTTGACTACTGTCCTTAAAAACAGATGTGAACTATTTGGAGAGCAGATGTCAGAAGAGAATGAGAATGACCAGAAGGCAAGACCTCTGAATGAAGAGTGAGGGCATTGTAGTTATTCTATCTGAAAGTAAAGAAGAATGAGAGAGAAATGATAGCAGCTGAGAGATATGTAAGAGAAAGTGAATAATCTGTATGACAAGCCCAATGTGGATAGGACAAGAAATAATAGCTTTGAGTCACAGCAAGAGGGATTTGGGTTAAACATTAGGAAAAAAATTGTAATTGCAAGGAAAGTTAAGCACTAAGAAAGAACACTCACCTCAGCTGAGGAGACTGTGGGATCTCCACCTCTGGGAGATTTCAAGAACAAGTGATGCAGATATCTTTCAGACACATTCAAGGTCCAGGTATTAACATGGGCTAACTGATGTAGAGTCCTGTTTCCTGTGTTTCTAAGTTGTGTATAATATGTACAGATAGTGAGAAATGGTTTGTTTGTGTGAGAGCTAAAGAGACCAGCCACTTAATGTGTGGAAGACATTAATGAAAAGCAAGGTTAATGGACCTTCCAAAAATATTCACCCTCATTTCAGTGTGGGAAGGCTTCCTGTTGCTGAGGGAATCCTGTTTGACTGACAGGAAAAGGACCAGGAAATTAATTCTCCCTGGAAATTTCCTTCTGTGGAGTAGCCAAGCCTGCAGGATGACCTTCCCAGGATTGTTCTCCTTCTACTTACAAGCATCTGCTAGGAAGTAGCTTGGTGCAGACTGAATAGATGGGATGGTGGTGAATTTGTGCTCCAGGAGGACAGGAAGGAACCTGAAATCTCAGAGGAGGGGTTCTGTTGTGCTATGACAGACCAGTTATTGAGAGTTTGCACTGAGGTCTTCTCTCTAGCTTGGAAGACAAATAGGGCTTTGAATTCTTCTGCAGATTGAAGCGGAGATTATGGGGCTGGAAATCAGCCAAGAGAAAGGAATTTTGCAGGGAAAGCATACCTTATGGAAGACTTGTACTCAGTCAAAGCTTCTACTTATCTTTAATGCCCTGCACCTGCCACATGGCATGGCTCGTGTTATAGTCTTTCTTTTTCCATGAATAAGCCTGGGCTGGAGGAAGAGTTTAAACTAAGATTTACATATTTCTCCCAGGAATATTGTGATTTTCCTGGGAGATCAAAGGAGTCAGGCTACCATGGTTGTGAGGGTATGTGGTCTATGTGTGATGTAACAAGTTTGTCTAGGACCACTGCATCTACAGATCATGGTATAATACAGGTAGCCTGTGCATAGCAAGTGGCTGTTTATCCAGGATTTCTGAGTGGTAACTCATTGCTCTGTCTTTATGAATTGTGAATGCCTTGAAATACTAAGCAAATTATTAGTGTCCATGAGTTTTGCTTAGAACAGGAAAAACATATCAGTCTTTTTGCAGGGCTATTGATTCAGATTTTTTAAATGCATAATGGCTTTTCACAGAACATGCTATCAAAGGCAGCTTTGGGCACTGTGGAGAGAAAACCTAGGCAAAAAGAATAGGTTGGGATCAGTGAAAATCAACATCTATAAATATATCTAGAGTTGAGATACTGGTGAGGACCAGCAGAGGATTAGGAGATAATGAGCTTTTTGATGAAAGCAGTATGAGGGATATTCTGCTGTCTCACTGGAAGGTAGAATACAACCAGAGAGTCAGGGGAAACTGTGAAGATATTGGAGGAAATCTGCATCTCTACTCAAGGAAATTAGGTAAGATTGTCCTATTCTAGGGCTGCAAACAAAATTGACAGACTTTCCAGAATCTTGACTCAGGAAAGTGCCTTTATTATAATACTAATTTCAGGAACCACCTGAAGAGCATCTTGGTTTCTAATATACTTTTAGAAACTTGGAGAGTAAGTGAAGAAACTTGGAGATCCATGTGAAGTAAGAAATCTTGGTTTCATGAGCCCCATGCTGTAACCACACCTGTGGTTCTTGTGGTTCTTAGCAGAACCACACAAGGCCTTGTCGCTTTCCTCTTGCTTCTTTAATTGAACCCTTCTTAGATAACCTGAAGCAAAGCTGAGAAGGAGGAGGAAGGAGGAGGAAAAGTGAGGAGTGAGGAGATCACTCTTTTGATCAGAAAATGCACAGCTGATACAGAGAATTTCAGACAGGTGTTTGTGAATCTCTGTTTCAAGGAGATCCTCAAATACTGACATTCCCAGCCTTTGAAGAGTGGCCAAAACAAGTGCCATCAAAGTAAAACCTTTGATGCAAACCTGGTAGAAAAATTGCACAAAATTCTGTCCCCTTAATCATATGAGAAGCTGGAACAAAACTTACCCTTCATTAGATTTCTTTTATTTTAACACACATAATCAATTCTAGCTCCCAAGGATTGTTGTCTCTGCTTTGTTTTGGGACCCTTCTCATGACTGTTTTTCTCATTTCCTCCTATTCTCCTAGTTCACTTCCTCCTTCACTGAAGCAAATACCAGTCCATTTCAGACAACCTACAGCCCCTGCTTTTCCCACTAGAAAAATGCACACTGCATTCATCGTGGGCTGTGGTTACACATTTGGGGGCAGGGTTTACTTGAATGCCTTTTAACATAAATGGCTAGGGAGGGCAGGGTTTTGGAAGATTAGGATCCTGTTTGTCAGCGTACCACAAATACTGCTGCTTGAGTCATGACTGCAAGAGAACTAGGAGTCACCCAGCAATGAGGATATGAGGCCAGATTATTGACAGTTGCCTATAGAGCATTTTGTTCTTTGTGTTCCAGGGAGTAAATAGCACTTTGGGTATCCACTGACGGCCAGTCCTTCATTTGGGAGAGCGGAGGTGTGATATTACACTTCTGCTTTATCCAACTTGTCCTCCAAGTGGTAAATATGTGTGTGGGGGTATGCACATATGTAAAGAAAACTTAAAATAATATTTGAAGGAATTACAGAATCCAAGATGCCATAATCTTACTAAAGTAAAAAAGAAAAAGAAACCAAAAAACCCCTCCTACATATGAGCAGATAAACAGTACTGCACTTCAAAGTACTCCTGGGATAAAGAAAACCCTGTTGGTCTTAAATACACTAACAGAATTACACTGCCATGAAACAGTGTATCTGTGGACTTCAGCCGGATCAGCTACTCATAATATTCTCCAGTTTTGCCAACATATTATGATATGAGAAAACACCTGTAAATCATGATGTAAGAATGTACCCTGGGCTGTACTCCATCCAAAAACTTTCATTAGCCAATATATCAAATGCATAGCATACAACATGTCTGAATGTTAGGAAATGAAGTGCAATTTTCCCTTTGCTTTTAAAAGTGAGGAAGTATTCAACCTACTCCTGTCCTACCTTTGTCCTGCCCCCTTCAGATCCCCTGTGCCTCAGAGGTTCCCACAATTCTCTCTGACTTCAGTTATTTTTAATCAACCAAGTCCAGCAACACTTTTTAATCCAAACCTAAAAGAGATCAGACAAATTAGAATGGTGTTAAAGCAGGTGAAATTAGATGGACTTTGTGGTTTAAAACACAGATATGTTTTGTGGTAAAAAGCAATATTTCTGGCCAAGAAAGTCATACAATCCATTTTTTCAAGATAAGTGATCTACATTTACTGCCTGGACATATATTTTTTCTCATTGTAATTATTTGAGAGGGGAAGCTAAAGAACATTGTGTTAATGTTGTAAAAGGAGGATTTGACAATGTATAGTATTTAGCAGAATTAGGGTAAGGTGGGGATATTGCACTGGGAAAGACTATTTTTTACTGACAACTTACTGTTGCCTTTGAAACTGGAAGGTAAATGGATGCATTGATCTCACAGCATTCCAGTATCAGATACAGATATATCTTAAAATATCATCATAATACCATTCTTCCTATAATTTCTAAGAAGGCTTGTCCCCTGAATTGTCTATGAACTTCCCTCTTAACCCTGTAATATAAACATTCTCAGATTCTCAAAGGTATTATGTAGAGAAAAGTACTTATTAAAATAACATGGCAGGCCTAGCTAGGACTGAGAAAACCAAGAAATTCACAGCTGAGATTGAAACTCCATCTTTGAGACACCCCGTTGTGCTTCGTTGCATTTTAATAAGTGTTCATATGACCCTCTGCCAGTTAATTATGGGGATCTTTAGAATTTTGTTCTGGCCCCCTTGCTCTTCACTACAGATGTACTTCTTTCACTTCTATTTTTAGGGACCTAAGGTGACTTATCATTGTTAACCTGCTACCACCCAGATCTATTTTGCCATTTTAGCTGATCCTACTAAAAAAGCTTTTAGTCTTTTTGTCTTACCTCCCTAAAGTACAAATTTGGACCTTAACTGAATGTCTTAAAAAAAGAGAGAGGGAGGGAAGAATCACAAAAAATCAGATCCCTTTTCTCTCCCCAAACCCACTAAAAATAGCTCCAAGTTTTCAGTTCCATTAGATGAAAATCTATTTATAATTTACCATATGGCCAAAAGAATTGAGGTAGTGCTAGATCTTATTTAGCCATATCCTTTGGAGGAGTTGTGGGGCTATATTTTTTTCTTTTGTTTTGTTGTGGCAGTTGGTTTACTTTGGATTTCCCATTTGAAAATAAGGAGAGGTTGTAAGAATTCTGTAAATATTCCTATGGCATTACCTCTCTTGTTCCCATTTTAAGGTGCAAAAATCACTTTTTATTACCTACACAGAAGTAAGATCACTACACATACCTAGGCAAGTTTTTATTTAAGGGAGAGAGAAGTAAAAAAACCAACCAACCAACCAACCAACCAACCAACCAACCAACCAACCAAAAAAAACTATGGATTAAAATGTTTCTTAGTAGCTCCTGTAGCTGCTTTCTGCATCAAGATTTTGTGGATTACTTCTGAAGAAACATGTATTGGAAAAGGAATGAATTTCCTCTGAAATGTAGTCTGTCACCCATGAGGAAATATTGCTCTGCATGATAAAGTAAAGGAACCTCAGGAGCAGACAGAAGTAAAACTAGGCATCATTAACAAGCAACTAAAATTCTGATTTTTTTTGGAGGTTCCTAGATAAAATGAGGACAGAGGCATTTTTTTGAAACACTGTAGACAAACATTGGTATTGTTACACTTGTTTGAAACAATCGTTTGCATCTTCTGAGATTTGTCCATCACCAGAAACATTTAATGAATACTCTTTTAGTAGTGGAATTTTCCCATTGAATGCAAATAATTTCAAAAGTTTATTTTCAGAATGTTTTATGCTTGTTTTTGTCAGACAGCTGGTAGATGGAAAGGGTTTCAAAAATAAAGAAAATTATATACAATGAATTACCAGTTGCAGTAAACACTAGGAGATTAAATGTATTTTTATTGTGAGGACATAATGCTGCTATAACCTAACCTTCTCCACCCCCATCGGGTAAAGAACACTTAATGAAGGAGAGAATGCTTCTATTAATTTGTAATCCATTTCTGGTCTATATAACATCCATTAGACATTCACTAGTAATTTCTTCCATCTAACCCTTATTTTGGAGAAAAAAAATATTATTTCAACCTTTTATAAGAAAAGACTGATAAATAGCTGACTAAAACATGTCTTCTATTTTATTTTTTATATTATCGATAGCATTTTGACACATTTATATTCCTGGTTGCTTGAGAGGCCATTATGCATTTTTGTTTAGAAAATCTTTCAAGATGTGCATTGCCAGGACTTCTGTTCTTTGAATATCTGTCAAAATGTCCTTCTTAGAAGCTGTTTCCCTGGGTATAGCTTTTTTCTGAGAAGGTCATCTCAGTGGTAGAAATCCCAATGGTGTGTATAGGTTACAAATAACATGATTTTCTGGTCCATTTTTTCCTACAGTTTCCAAACTTCCTTCTTTCCTCACTCAGGAAATATTAGATTTCTCAGTGGCTGCTGGGCTAAGCTTTCTTTTTGCCTCTACTCCTAAACAAAGTTAATGCCAGCTTGTTGTCTCTGTTTTTTTAGCTTTGGTCCAAAACTCATTTTCAGTTTACACTCAGACATTTGATCAGCTACTTACATTGTTTTATTAAATTTTTATTTAAAACAATAATTATAGGAAGAATACCCTCTTATAGTAGAGAATTCATCATTAAAGCTAAGAAAGCCCCTGCTTTGCTTTTTTGTGAACAAGAAATGCAACTTTCTGGAAGTCTGAAACATTATCAAATGGAGGGCTAAGCAACGGCATTAATTTTTTAAACATTCTGTTACTTCAGTGAACTTCATCAATAAGCCTAACTTTTCTCTTTTTTTTAAAAAAAAAAATCTAACTTTGAGTTTTGCTTTTATTGTATCTAAGGAGATTGGGTAAAAATATCCAAAAGTAAAGCAATTCTGCTTCTTAACCCTGTAGGACTATGAACACAAGGGGTTCCTATCCTCATACTTGCTGGCAGATATTACTGCTTTTCTTTGATATATAATTTTATAGTATCTGCTGCTAGTCAATTGCCCTTTGATATGCAATATTATAGTATCTTCTCCCAGTTTTTTAGACCTTTTTTATTGGTATTGGTCAAATCAGGTGTATAAAGCAAGAACGTCAGTTCAAGGAGTTTGAGTTGAATGAGAATGAGTTGTCCATTAATTCTGATGACAAGTTCCGAGTCCAGTGTCATGACAGAATTCTGCCACCTTTTCCCCCAAGTTTGTTAGTTTTGTCTTGGCCAAAGGGCTACTACTAAAACTTTAGTCCCTGATCTTGCAGTCAGATTTTCATGTGTGGGATCCTATTGACCTCAGCAAGTTTTTAAGCAGATGCTAATATCGGACAAGCATGAATTTGTTCCAGGAGAACTTTCTGAGATGATCAGCTGTGAACTTTCCGAGAAATTCAGATAGGCTGGAGATACTTGCCCATGTGACATTGGTGGAACTTTGGTGACAGTGTCCTCCATCCCTCTCTTTCATTCTCTGGATTTGTACAAATTAATTTACACATGCATACTTATCTATCTATATATATACACGCTAGCCTCATGGAACCAATTTACATACATGTATATGTGTTATACAAAGGAAAAAACTCGTCTCCTGGGTGTTTATCCAATTTCCTGTTTGTTATAAATTCTCTGTTTAAGATGATCTGTTTTCTCCAAAAACTTCTGGGCATGCATATGACTTATCTCAGTCATGTCACCTGTTTCAGGTAAAGCAAAAAAAGTGAGAGGAAAATGAAAAAACCACTTAGAATTAATAAGTCCTTTGCATTAAAAAATTATACATATAAGTAAATCTATTACATGCCCAAGTACTTGGTTTTTTTGGTTTGGTTGGCTTTGGTTTATTGGCTTTGGTTCATTGTTTTTTGGTTTTGATTTGTTCTGTTTTCTTTCAATATAGTGAATTATAGTTAGGTTATATAAGAAAGAGCTCTAAGAAGTCCACTGACAGCAACCTTATATGTCTATCAAAGAATGAAGTCTTTGTTTCTGGACTTTATGCTAATATTTTTACAGTTTTCTTTCTGTGGAAGTGATAAATGCAAAACTAACTTGCAAAACCCACTCACCTCTTTTACTTATCCATAATATGACTGCAAGATATAGCTCTAATAAACGAACCTAAAAAAGGAGCTCTGATTTCCTAAGAGCACCAGAATAAAGTTTTCATTAATTCCTGGTTAAATACAACAGTTAGAAAATTAATAAAAAAGCTATCCAGAACAGTAAGCACATTAAGGTGTTAAGATTATTTTACTTTACCATAATGAATATCACTCATTTAAAAATAGTACATCCCCACAAATTAAGAAACAATACTTCTGTTAATTTCCTTGAGTATTTTACATAAAAATGTCATATATTTACAACTCGTACACATGTAAATGTTTATTTTATCTAGTTTTAATTTCAATTCAGCTATTGACATAATGTAAAATACTCTGTGCAACAAAAATCTTACCAGGACTGTGAGTTCTGACATAAATGAACTGGGATATTTTGTCATAAAATACTGAATTTAACTTCTCTTAAAACTTGTATTTCTTTGTTAGAAGGAAATGATGGTAAAGTTGGAACTAATTTTTTTAAACTCTGATTAAAATGCAGAGGTGGTAACTTGGAAAACTTCCCAATCATACCTGAGGGGTGAAGCAGGAGGGTTAGAGATACTGAGTGAAAACCCACAGAACTGATCATTTTCCCCACTGTATCCTTTCAAAAAACTGTAGGTCTTGTTTCTTATACATTTAGCCACTTTGTAGTTTCTTTACAGCCTCAAATTTTTTAAAGAAAATGTGACATCACTACAGACAGCTTCCTTAAGTTGTTCCTAAACTCCATTTGACTCTGTTAATGTCTCTGAATAACAAAGTATGCAGGGTTGGATCCTGCCAGGTACAAGAAATCCTGTAGCAGTTTTTCAACGTGAATATATATAGCTGACACTCAAATTTGGCCTACTCTCCCTAACACAGAGGCCAATGAGTTATCTTATTTTTACCTCTTT